GCTGGAACATGGAATTTGGGGTAACCTGAATCTGTGGTTCCTGGCCATGGTCATATTTGCCTCCAGGATAAACTATCTCTTACCCCTTTGCGGTGAGAGTTACGCTTTTGCGTTGACATGCTAATACTTAAAAGGTTTTGGAATTAGTGCAGGCAACATATCTGCTGATAGCATTTTTATATTATTGGTCTATTTTGCAATTGTTTAGTGAATCTGGAAGGCAGGGGAAAGATCTTTTAAGATCTGATTCACAAGGCTGGAGAGATGGCTCAGCAGTTAAGAGCACTGACTGCTCTTGCAGAGGACCCAGGTTCAATTTCCAGCATCTACATGGCGGCTACGAACTGTCCTTAACTCCAGTTCCAGAGGAATCCGAAGCCCTCTTCTGACCGCCACAGCTCTGCACAACACGGTATACTCACATACATGCAGGCAATACACTCATACACATCAAATAATAAAAAAAAAAAAATCTGATTCATAAAAATGATTGTCCCATTGCCTGCTAAAATCCCTGGGTGACTCCTTACTACTCCAAAAATGACAACTTCCTTGGTATGGCCAAGAAAGCCCTGCCTAGCCTGGTCCTTGCTGGTGTAGAACAATCATCCTGGTGAGATGTGAACAAACATCTATTTACCTCAGATAGGGAACCAATGACAGACCAAAGTAAAGATACCACCAAATCCCAGCTTGGTGAACCAGTGAGTTTTACAGGGGTTACGTACAGGAGCAGAAAAGACTGCAGAGACCAAATGAGCTGCCTGGAAAGGACACTCCAACCTGTTGAAATGCTTGCAGATTGTGCAGGGCACCCTTGAGCTCTTGAGAGCTGTCACCCAGAGGTTTCTCATACTACTTTCTAGTAAGAAGGCCCCTATGACCCAATTCTGACTGTGAGCTGGTAAGTACAAAACCCAAGATTTTATAAAAAGGCAATTAAGTAGGGGATGGCACAGTGGGTAAAGTACTAGCAGTGTAAGCATGAGGACATGAGTTTGAATCCTAGAATCTATATAACACCATGTGCAGTAGCAGGCAACTGTAACCCCAGTGCTCCTACCATGAGATAGGAAGCAAAGGCAGAATCTCAAGCTCACAGGCCGGCCAGCCTAGCTCATCCAGGGGTGAGCAACAAAGAAGAAAAGAAGGAGAGGCCTGGCTTCAAAAAAGGTGAAAGGCAGACTGACATCCATGGTTGTCCAACGTATGTACTGTGGCACACATGAGCCTGAATTCACACACAAACATGCTCTTGCACATATACATACACAACAAAACAGCATATAAGGACAAAAACAACTGATGGGCTGGGGAAGACAGTTCAGTAGAGAAAGTGCTTGCCATACAAACATAAAGACTGGAGTGTAAATCCCCAGCACAGAACTCACATAAAAAGCGGAGCAGATGTGTGGGCACTTTTAATCCCAGCACTCAGGAGGAAGAGGAAGGGGATCCCTAAGGAAAGCTGGCTCGCTAGAGTATCCAGAATTGGTGAGCTTTGAGTTCTGTGACAGACCCTCTCAATAAAGTATACAGTGACTGAGGAAGACATCCAGTATCAACTTTGGGTCTCCACACATACTCAAACATACAACACACACACATGTAAAACAAAACTTGGCTGATACCTGTCATTGGCCTGACTTGGACTTCATCCTTTTGAATGGTGAAAACTCAGGGATGCATTAGACATCTTACCACCATGAAAACAAAACTTTATGCTAATGATGATGAAGGCAGGCTTGGATCCTTGATTACTGTAATGTTTTAAAAGCTCAAATATCAAACTACCAAAGGAAGAGCCATGCCTGGTGCACACCTGTAATCTCAACTACTCAGTTTATGTAAGTAATGACAAGTTTAAACTCAGCCTTAGATTTGAGATATCAAAGCAGAAAATAATTAAAAAAAAAAAAGGGCAGGCGATAAGGTTAGCATGTGTGAGATACTGAATTGGATCCCCAGTATTAGGGGTGCTAGGGTATAGAGAGGGAGAGAGTGGGGGGAGGGGGTGGGAGAGAGAGAGAGAGAGAGAGAGAGAGAGAGAGAAAGAGAGACTGACTTCATGAAATTCACGGCAATTAGTGACTAAATTTATTGAACAAATTTTTAAAAATGGATTTAGCTGGGTATGGTAGATCACACCTTTAATCTTAGCACTCTGAAGGCAGAGGCAGATGGATCTTTATGAGATAGAAGCCAGCAAGTTCCAGGTCAGCTGGGAGACCCTGTCTCAAAAAACCAAAACACACACACACACACACACACACACACACACCAACAAAAAGCAGAAACAAAAGGGATTTAAGCTTCAAGACTGTATTTATACAAAGACCACTTTCTAAGTTCATTAAATGAATTAGTATATTTAATATTTTCCACACAAATTTCCAATATATCCCAAAGAATCAAACTATTTCCTAATGGTTTATGCTGCTTTCAAAAACACAGTATTTTTTTTCCTTAGGATTACTAAATCCACACAATTTCAATTTATTAGCTTGTGCTGGATGGATAGCTTTAGTGTCAACTTGACACACCTGGGTTGAGGGAGCCTCAATTGGGGAACTGCCTCATTGGACTGGCCTGTGGCCATGTCTGAGGGGCATCTTCTTGATGAGTGATGTGGGAGGACCCAGCCCACTGTGGGTGGTGCCACCCCTGGGCAGGTGGGCCTGTGTTGCATAAGAAAGCAGGCTGAGCAGGGGCCAGAGGAGCAAGCCAGTAAGCAGCATTCCTCCATGGCCTGTGCTCCAGCTCCTGCCTCCAAGTTCCTGCACTGAGTTCCTACCTTGGGCTCCCTGATGAACTGTGACCGGGGAGATGAAAGATTTAAATAAACCCTTTCCTCCTCAAGTTGGTAGTGGTCAGAGTGTTTTGTGATAACAATGAAGAACTAAAACATAGCTGTAGAACTACTGTTGACGTTTTCAACACTTGATATAATTAGTAATTTAGAATTTTCTTGAATTACTACTATAATTCGTAACTTAAAATTCTTTCTTGAATAATGATTCAAGACTAAAGTTGTACTAACCTTTGCTACAAAATATTAAAGCTGTCTAATCTCTTATCTTTGCACATAAAATAAAGGAAACTGAAAATGCCAACAGCAATGGCAAGTTATAAGCAACTCAAAGTAAAGCCAAAATTTAATCGGACAGAACAATAATGCTTTCTCATGTAATTACGTATTTCAGTACAAACTCTAAAACTGGTTATTTTATTCCTTGGAGAAGCTACTTCAAATTGCATGAACTTAAATTTGAGACAGGAGTAGCTGGAAGGAAAGAAGAAGGGAGGGAGGGGGAAGAAAGGAGAAATAGAGAAACAGAAAAGTGTGGGAAAGGGGGGGAGGAAGGGAAGGAGGGAGATAAAGAGAATGAAGGTGGGGGAACCCAACCAATGCTGGGGTGGGGAGATGGCTCAAGTTGGTAAAGTGCTTGCTATGCAAGCATGAAGAACTGAGTTTGGATCCCCAGCATCCACATGATGGCTGAGCATGGCAGTGTGGGTCTCTAACCCCAGTACTGGGACAGAGACAGGCAGATCCTTTGAAGCTCACTGGTAAGCCAATCTAGATAAAATGTGAACTCAGGTGGTGAGACCATCTGTAAACAAGGTGGAGATCGGCAGGAAAAGATACCTGACGTTGACCTCTGGCCTCTACACATACATGCACAGGAAAGCACACCTGCAGAAACATGTGCCTGCATACACACAAACATGTAACATAACACACGCATACACACACACACACACACACACACACACACACACACATACACACACACAGGAAACTTTCTTTAATCCTCTACACTGACCATGTTCAAAATTTACAACAGCTCTTACCTACTACTTTCTTAATCCTTTGCCAGTATAATTTCATTTCTGTGTTCCCAACAGTCACTACATAAAGGAACATTCATGCAAATGCTCCATGGTTTTATATTAAAACTCAACAACGTTTTGACTGCTACCCTGAAATACTGGGAACATACTTATAGTAAAAAATTACTGTTCTTCTGAAATTCAAATTTGACTAAATACCCTGAGTTCTCCTGGTCAAGCCTGCTCCAGGCTCTCTCTTTAGAGGCCTTCCCTACTATCACCAGAGCTAATGTATCCCCTTTGTCATAATCCTGTTTTCTTCAGAGTACTTGTCAACCTCTGGAGACAGCTGCACCCACTTTCCTGGTTTACTGGTTGAATGCTCCTCCTCTAATCTGGAGTGTTAAGTTCTAGTTCGCTCCCACCACCCCAGTCTTCTGCTATACCCCATTTCTGGCCCATGTCAGTCCCACAAGAGCAGTGATAATTCTTGTCTTGAACTGCTTCTCCAGCATCTGAAACAGTGCCCAGCACAAAGTAACTGTTCATAACATACTGCTTAATGAAGGAATGCTCTGAATTCACATGCCTTCTGAAGTGTTTAGTAAAATTATTTTCTTTTACGGGTTGGGGTGAGGGCTCAATTGGTAAACTGCTTGCCTTGTCAGCATGAGAGATCTGAGTTTGACCTCCCAGAACCCAGGGGGGGGGAAAGCCAGGCATGAGGGGTGGGAGAGGAGAAGATAACCTGGTGTGCTTCAAACCAAGGAGAGAACCTGTCTCAAAAAACAAGGTGGGTGACAACTAAGGAATTTTAGCCAAGGATATCTTCTGGGCTCCACATGTATGTTCATACACATGCTTTGGAACAACACACAGGAATACACAAGCAAATACACATGCATGAATTATTTCCTTCTGATTCCTTACCTGAAACAATGTTAAAGTTCTGAAAGGAAAGCTAATTAGATTTGTTTCTTATGCAGACAGTCTGTATATTAACTGGCTTCAGGTGATCTATTTTATTACTAATGTTGCACTGTTAGCAAGACAAATAACTGTTCAGAATTATTTCCTTATGACCAACAATACAAGAATACAAAAATACTAATTAAAAGCATGCTTACAGAATATACATTACACAAATGTAAAACTACCCATTTTACCGTCTTAATAGAACTCCTTTGTTTTTCTTCCCAAACACCACTGCTCAACTCAAGTGTGCAATGAATATTTGCTTCTCTGTCATAGGATCCAAAAATGAGTAACCTGCAGTACAAAAATAAAACAGGGAGAGTGCTACACCAGCTACAGGCAATAGGTATTTTCTTTCTGGTAATTATAAAAAGAAGTAATATATCACTCTATCACTATGTTAAAAACAAGCAAACAACAAAACTAAATCAAACTTTTCTCACACCCTCTAGTGGAAAGTAAAGTAAGGCTCAAGTCAGATGGAAGTCCCTGGATGCACTGGTTTTCAGTAGCTAAGAAAAAGAAAGAGAGAGAGGGAGGGGGGGGGAGAGAGAGAGAGAGAGAGAGAGAGACTGAGACTTATTCATTAGGTAAAACAAGTGAACAAATATTTATATGTAGTAAGCAAACTAGAGATTTTCAAAACAGACTGCCAAATTTAAAATAAAAACAAGTTATGGAGTGATGCATACAGGTACAAGATCTCTGTAAAAAAAAATCAAATATGCAGAAGTATACTGCAATTGAGTATGAACACACACACCCACACACACACACACACACACGCACACCCACACTCCACCACTTAATATAACCCTAGACAAAATATTTACTTTTCTTAACCTACTTCCCTTGCTGAAAATGTTAGACAAAAACAGGATTACTTACCTTTGAGAAAGAACTATTTTTAGAAGAAAAGAAGACAGTATACATAAACCACTTAGCATACTGCCATGCAAACAGTAAGTGCTCAAAAAATGTTTATTTCTTTCCCTATCTTGAAAACAACTGTTAAAGAATAATGGCACCACCTAATTCACACTTAATATTCAGTTCTATAAAGGACATCTCAGGTCTAATGCTGAGGTGACAGAAAATGTTATTACTGAAGAGCACCTATGAGTCCAACGTCTGCATTTTCTATCCTCAGAATCAGACTGTAATCAGGCAGCCTGTCTGTGGAGTAAGGTCATGACTAGCTTTAGCATTTATCAGCATTTTAACTGCTATTCTACTACTTCGTTGCTATGTAAAGTGTCTGGATAAGAATAACATAATGAAGCCGGACATGGTGGCATACACCTTGAATCCCAACACTTGGAGGCAGAGGCTGGAGGATCTCTATTGTGAGTTTGAGACCAATCTGGTCCACATAGCGAGTTCCAGGCCAGCTGGGGTTACAGGAATTTTTTTTTTTTTTAAAAAAAAAAAAAAAAAAAAAAAAAAAAAAAAAAAGAAGAAGAAGAAGATTTTGAGAAAATTGTGTTCTAAGTTTGGAGACATCAAGCAAGATCCCCCATCATGTCCAATCTCAGGAGCTGGCTTCATAAACTGATAAGCCTGAATAAACTTAAGAGGGAGGGTCCCTAAATTTAAATCTGTAAGGATCTTAAAAGAGAATTTAACTTAGTGCCTAACAACCTATTACCAAAAAAGCAGACAGGCCAAATATATTCAGAGGATTCATAATTTGCAAAGTGCAGACCTCAGCACAACTAGCCCCTTCATTCACCGAAGCTCTACTGCCATCGTCTGTTCAGAGAGTAAAAGACTTCAGGGCCTTCATCTTCAGGCAGAGAAGTCTGTGCACCAGCAGATGTCTCCAAACCCCAGACAGACAGGCTCAGGAGTCAAGATCTAGAAGCAGAATTCTCAGAACTCTCCTTGAAATCATAAGTTATTCTACATTTTTCCATACTGCTTTAAAAAGGCTTTTTAAAATAATGCAGCTTATAATAAAAAATTAACTCAAAATGGCCACATTGCTAAATTAAAAAAAAAAACTGTAAAACACAGAAGAAAATACAAATCTTTTTGTTCTGAGACTAGGCTATGCTTTATTATCATGCAAAATGCTTAAGTATCAAAAGAAAAATTAGAAATTAGGCCTTTTTTTGTAAGGTTGGGAATTCTCGGTGGCAGAGCACCTGCCTCATGAGTATAAAGCCTTGCAATGGGACCTGCTAGCACGGGGGAGAAATAGAAACAAAACCAACAAAACCCCTAAGGAAATTAATTTTTTTATACTTCAAAGGGTACTACTATGACATAAATGACTGAGGCAATCTCCAGAATGAGAGAAAATATTTTCAAATTATCAACTTGGTAAAGGGTCAAATACACAGGAGAAAAAAAATGGTACAGCTTAACAATAGAAAGTAAAATAACCCAATTTTAAAATAGGCAAGGTATCTGAATGGGCATTTCTTCAAAGATAAAAAAATGGCCAGTAAGCACACAAAAAGATGTCTAACTTATTAACCATAGGAGTAATTCAAATCCAAATCACTTCAAGACCACTAGAATGGCTATAATTTAAAAAAAAATTAAGTCAGCAACAGATATTGTTGAGGATGTGGAGAAACTGGAATCTTCATACACTGCTGGTCGAAATGCAAAGTAGTAGTCATTTTGAAAAAGTTTGGCAGTTGCTTAAAAATTTAATATATGACTTAGCAATTCTACTCCAAGAAAGCATTTATTTACACATGAATGTTCACAGAAGCATTATTCGAAATGGACCCAAAGTGTTAACAGCTTAAATGTCTATCAAATGATGAATAGGTTAAATAAAATATGGCATAATCAAACGAGGAAATACTACTCAGCAATAAGATAAAGTACTTAGTAGAGCATGCTGCAACATGGATGAAATTTGAAGGACTGTTACGTCAAATAAGCCAGTCACAAATGAACTCATCACATAACTCCATTTACATGAAAAGTTTGCAATAGGCAAATTTAATGACAAAAACCAAACTCATGTGTAAAGCAAAAATTGCAGGAGGCCACTATTTTGAACTGACATCCTCCACTAGGCTCCAATGACTAGACTACTAAACCAAAATGGAGTCACTCTTGTTAAAGGTCACATGATCAGGGCAGGGGAGGTGATGGATGACTCAACTGGTAAAGTGCTTACTACACAAGCATGAGGACTGAGTTTGGATTCTTGTTACCCTCATAAAAGGTGATTCAATGCTTATCAATAATGCTTCCTCATGAAGCTCCAGGCCAGGAATGCAAAAGGTCACAAATGGCCAAAATGTAGAGACTAAGAGTCTGCAGTGTGTGGGTCCTTGGAGAGCACTCCTATTCAAAGTCCAGCCACCCAGGGCTCAGGGTCAGAAAGATTGTAAGAGCCAGGGAGGTGCATGACCATATGGAAACAGTCCTACAGGCTCCTGGGACTCTTCTCATATGAACTTACAGCAATGATGTCAGTATGCACAAGACCCATGCAAACCTAAGCAGACAAAACCTGAGCAGCACAGAACTGTGGAAATGAGTAGTACGCCCCAATCTTAGTTGAAAAATTATTGGCAGCTGATTACTGCTGGGTAAGAAAGAGCTGATCTTAAAGTGAGGGACTCTAGATAGGTTGACTAGATCCCAGTGGATGAACTTGTATGAGGGACATCTGGAGAACTAACTTTACATGATAGGCCTTAGCACAAATGACAGAATGTATGAGCTGGGGGGACGGGGGGCCATGGGAGGTTGCCAAAGGGGAAGGGGGTATAAAGATGATTTTCTGTATGAAATACACAAAAATTCAATAAAAAAACTTTTTAAAGGTGGGAGTAGTGGAGTGTGCCTATAACCCCAGCACTGGGGGACTGGGGGACTGGGAAACTAGGAAACACACAGAAAACGTGGACCCTGGGGGCTGGCTGGCCAGCTACTCCAGCTAAATTGATGAGCTCCAAGTTTGGTGAGAGATCCTGTCTCAAAAAGTAAGGTAGACAACAACAGAGGCAAGACACTTATCATCCATTCGAGTCTCCTCCACATAGCCTCATGTGGGAGAAGAGTACATACAGAGACACAGACAGACAGACACACACATGCACACACTATAAAATGTCACATAATCAAACTCAAACTTTAAGGAAAGGGACATATTTCCAAACAGACATTTCCTGAAAAGAGATCTCAGTCTATCTCTGTCGGCAAAATAAGCAAATCCCCTTCAATCTTTACAAAAAAAGTAATCCAAAGTAATCTAATGTTAGTCAGTTTTCTTCCTATTCTGCTTTGTTCCAACTTTACGAAACTCAGCTGTTCAGCTATTGTCCAGTTGGCATGTTCAAATTATTTTATAGAATGGGTACCAAGCTAACTCATGAATTCAAACAAAAGCCAATTGGATCTACAACTAAATTTGGCACAGTTATGTTTTCTGATATGTGGCTATTTTGAGCTAGAAAGAAGCAGAATTAGAGGAGAATGAAGGTAAGGTTATGCAGTTCTTTGAGAGGGACTATTTCCTTATGGTAATGTCTATTTACATTGACAATATCAATATAAATTACATTGCAGTATCAATATAAATACATCAAAAGGTTGAACTGTGTCCAGTCTACAAAGAGGAGGGTCAACACAGAGGAAACATTTCTTCCATGCTTCCAAGCGAAGCCAGCCATGGTATGAAGGTAAGGTTATGCAGTTCTTTGAGAGGGACTATTTCCTTATGGTAATGTCTATTTACATTGACAATATCAATATAAATTACATTGCAGTATCAATATAAATACATCAAAAGGTTGAACTGTGTCCAGTCTACAAAGAGGAGGGTCAACACAGAGGAAACATTTCTTCCATGCTTCCAAGCGAAGCCAGCCATGGTTGAGGAGCCAGGGGCTCCTCCCAATCCCATGTGACCCCTGAGGAACAGATCCTCAGACAGCCTTAAGAGTAAAAATAAATTGGTTTATCTGGGCCAACTCCAGGGTCTTAAACACCCAAAAGGAAAGTATAACCAAAGATTAAAGGGGTCAATATAATTTTTTAAGAGTTCATATGTATAGCTAAAGGCTATATAACAAGAAACAATGCCAGACAGGAGATACCTTCCGTTGAGTTGTTGGCCAGGGTGGCCCAAGAAACTCCCAGACAGCAATCCAGTATAGAACTGAGTAAATGAACAGCAGACCCCAATCTTATTTAAAGGAATACTGACAACTGATTGCTGCTGGATGAGGAACAGCTGGTCTTCCCAAAACAAGGCTCTCTAAGATAGGTTGACTAGATTCAGTGGATGGACAAGCACTGGGGAACGGCTGGGGGCACTG